GTGTCAGTGTTTGGAAGAGCAGTTTCACATGGCTCCTCCTGCTCTACTTCTGCTCTCTCCTCTGAAGTGGGTCTGGGAGCACTGGGGGGAGGCTGCACAACCTCAGAGCACAGAGGGGTAGGCATGAGTTTTGACAAGCTGGCCAGAGGGGGAAAAGACTAAAGCATTGAAGTATAAATTAGGAAGAAATAGCAGCAGTTTACATGGTGGCTGGAACCCATTATTTCCCCTAGCACCACACAGGGTGACAACTTTTATTGACAGCCTGTTATTTGCTGTGACTGTTCAACAGCCACTGTCCCCAGTTGGGTGACCACACTGTAGTCTGTTGTTCTGTAGAATTAAAAAAAAAAAGAACCATTCACTTTCCTTGCCATTTTTCATTTGTCTTCCCATTTGTTTGCAGCTCCTGTGCTGCCTCAAATTCAAATTAATTAATGGTTTAGCCAGAGACCAGAGCAGACTGCTAGTGGTTCTGTCCTGGCTCTCGTGCCATCTTGCTTTTAGTGCTCTTGTGTTTTCTTGGGCCTAAATCCTTGTTTCCCCATCAGTAAAATGAAGATGAGAATTCCCCTGCAGGGCTATGGGCTGTTTCATTTCATTTTGGTGACTGCTCTGCCAAGAAGAGCCATGCAGAGGTCATTAGCTGAACTTCCCTGAAAGCTGAGGTGGAAGATTTATAAAACACAGAGGCAAACTCTGCTCCAGCTTTGCATCCTGTGTGAATAGCTGCCCACTCTGTTTCTGTGCTGAATAAATGCCACAACAGTGTAGAATGAAACTTCTGTAAAATGCCCATCTTTTAATTTTGTTTAGTAACACTAGGTCCAGAAGGTTTTCTAGACCAAGAAAGTGTGTGCAAAGCAGCTGAATAATGGAAATATTCCGTAAAGACATTATTGGAAATACGGTAGGAATTCTTAAAAAAGCTTCAATCAACTTGTCTGTGTTAGTCAATCTTTGAATACAAGAAGTAGTGGGGAGGCTAAGCAAAACAGGGAATTAAGTGTGAAAAATTCAGGGACTGAAATTTGGGCCTGTGCCCTCCATGGGGATTTCCCATCTCTGGTTCAGAGGCCAGGAGTTCAGCTTGGAAATTAAAATGAATTTCTAAACTAGATAATCAGCCTTCCTTGTCCAGGGCTGTGTGTGGGATAATGGCCAAAGCAAATTGCTTGGGCAGGAGTGGGGAGGAAAAGAAAAAAAGGAAGGTGGTCACAGCCCAGTCTGTGCAGAAATGTCCTGCAACTCCCCCAGGCAGCAAGATGGAATCAGCTTTTTGCATTGAAGGAAGAATAAAAGCTCTTGGAATTCTTCTCTAATGTAACCCTGGAGGGTTTTATTGTTATTCATGCAAATATCTAATTTTCTTTAAATTCTCTAGCATCCTTGGCCTCCTTAAGTCTTGTAGCAAGGAGTTCCACATGTTAACAGCTGGTTTGATTTTAAAAACCAAACCAAACCACCAAGCAGTGTGTCCTGTCCTAGATTCTATTACATTTCTGCAGTGAGGGGAAGAGGTCATGAGTGCATTTTGTATTTCATTTTATTTCTCTGGTCTCTCTACCTTGTTTTGTCTTATTTTTTTCTGCTCTAAAACAGGCAGAACCAACCTGCTCAATCCCCTTTCTTTCCATGGAAGGCTCCTCAGGCTTCTAATATTTATGGTATCCTCCCTAAGCATTTTGTTGTTCATTTTTGTCTCATTTCTTTTTGATGCAAGGTAGGGAGAATGGAAAGCTGCATCCCAGTGATTCATTGAGTGGCATCTTAATACTTAATTTGATTGGTGTTTCTCTGTAATCTTTTAAATATCCTGAAGCTGGAAAGGAGGTTTCCTTGTTCTCACTAATGCTCAAGTTTTTACCTCAAGGTCTGTAATTAGTTTAAGACCAAGAAAAGTCTGTGAGTGACTCAGATCACTCCTTCATCTGTTCACTACCTCCCATTTGTCAACAATGATTTTAATTTACTGCTGTGCTCATCACTTATGGGCCACTCCTAAGTGTCTTTGATGTGTCTCAGAGCCTTCTCTCATCTTAATCTCAATTATGGTAGATGATCTCCTGCTGTGCCTATTGCATGAAAAAGGTGGTTCAGATAATATTTTGGGGTTGTTTACTATCAACCTTTTCTCAGACTGGAATTGTAGACTGTCTAGTCCTCCAGAAGAAAACAGGTCTTTATTTTTTTCTACCTCTGAAGTGCTGTCTGACCAGAGTGTGTTCCAGGCTGGCTCTAATGGCTTGTCTTACATTTGTGTGGCAAGAATGAAACATCTTTAATAGTCTGGCCCTTGAGTAGTTGATTTTACATGTATTTATTTATATATTTATTTTTCTGGTGGTGCATATATTTTATTTTTTTTTCCCCAGTGGTGAAATAAGAGTGTAAAAAGGAAGAAAAATCTTAATAACAAAAAGTGCTTGTGAAATTTTCAAGGAGGTACCTTGGCCCAGCTGGAAAATTGTGATGCCAGCTCACTATTGGTACATCACCAGAGGGGTGGTTGTGGTTGGAACTGAAGCAAACGTAGCTCAGGCTGGTTTAAATGTGGATTGTTTAATAGAATCAGCAGCACATCTGCTTGAGGGATCTATACTGAGGTGTTTTAAACAGTGACAACCTTAATGTACAAGTGCTGGTGGGAGTTAATGCAGGAAGCCTGAATTGATGAAGTGCTTAACAAATGCCTCCTGAACAAAGGGCTGGGGAATGGAAGAGGAAATTATAGCAGAAATAATGTGCTGAAGTGCTGGATTCAGATGTTCAGGACTTGAAAGAAGGAAAAAAAATAAAAATGAACCAATAATCAACCCACAGTCTGACCAGTTTCCTTGGAGTTTGAATTGACTTTCTTCTCTTAGGATTGCACAGAGGCCAGGGATGAAGTTTTTAGTTCTACTTCTTCCTCCGGAGCATGTTGAAGATTGAGTATCAGGGTAACAAGGGGCTTTAAATCTATTTGAATGGAATAACAGGTAAAATTTCCATAAAATTCAGGTAAAAGCTCCATTTGAATCCAAGACTAAGGTAAATTGTAACTCAGTGGAGTCTTTTTGAGGATGTCAAGGAGAAATGTTGTGCCACCTTAAGTGGCTTAGAAATCTGTAAGTGTCTTCAAATTGGTAAGATTTTCAGTCTTGTGGAGCTGGTGTGAGTTACAGACCAGAAGCAATGATCCATTCCATTCATTTCTTGCATCTCACAGAATTTAGGCCAAAATTAGTGTAGTAATTATCATACCAATCTCAAAAACATTGACTGCGTTGTTTAGGAGTGAACTGTATGGATCAGGTAGAAACAGCCCTGGAACCTTACATTGAGTCTTGAAGAAGAAAGTCAACTGTTTTTTTAGTGAATTCTTTAGAGGGATCAATTCCCCCCAGCACTAGAAGTCAGCTGGGGGGGGTGTACAATGCCATGCTTGGCACTGTGCTGCTCCTCTAGGTGTGAGATCATAGAGTCACAGGAGTTGG